GAGAGAGAGGAAGTGGGAGACCGGCTGAACCCAACAGCTTCTGCAAAGAAAAAACAAAAAGCCCATGTGGCCACTATATGCACAGAGATAACTTAAGGCCACTCTGCACCCAGTGATAAAATCTCTCAATAATTCACTGCAATAATTACACCAACAGGTCATACATAACCGAAAATAAAAGCCATAATTCTAGAGGTTTTGGGCCTCATTATGCATCGGTCACAAACTGTACTTTGAAACCTCGCACAAGACTGGCTTTTTTCCACAGGCCTGTGCAGGGATTCAGGCAGGGACCCCTGGAGGCCGACAGTCCAATCCCTGCTCAAGTGGCCCTGCCACCCAGCACTGCCCAGGGCCTCGTCCTCTTAGTGCTGCAGGTCTCCAGGGCTGGAGATCATACAGCCTTGCTGGGCCCTGGTCCAGCATGTGAGATGCTGGATGTGAAAATTTCCTCCTATCCAGCTGGTGCAAAGCCCGAGTCCCACTGGAGTCCCTCCTTGGATGGATGCTGCTGCTGTGAGATACTGACCAGCTCTGCCTGCGGTGCATGGGATTACATGTAAAAGTGCTGTTGTCTCCTGCCTCTTTTGGGGGATCATGTCTCTAGGAAGGAAGTGGCCTCTCATTCAGAGTTGCCCGAGCTCTTGGCATGAAATGCTGCTCAGTCAGGACTTCAGCTTAAGCGTGCTTTCCCTCTACTGCTCCTCCATCCCTGTTCTCACAGGGCAGAGGCTAAGCACAGCAACTAGAGGCCTGCAGCCTCCTACCCTGCAATGGGCACAGCTGCTCAGCAATAACCTTAAGCTGTTATGGTAAGAGAAGATGCAACTTGGTTTGGGCAGAGCTAAAATAATACAGGAACGTATAAAATTGAAGTGCATTATTACTTCCTGCTTTATTGCTAGTAGAGAAGGGGCAGCAGTTACATGCACTCTGAACAAAACTGTGTCCATGTAAGTTTGCATTCTATAGAAACAGCACACACTGCTATGGAAGTTGATCATGCCCCCTGCCCTCCAGGTCCTCTCAAAGGACAGGCAGTGAACTGCTGTGTGCAGCAGGATGTCGGGTAGAAACACACAGCAGATTTGGCACGGAACAGCTGGGGAAAGGGCCTTGAGGAGAATGGGAAGCCCTTGCTAGTGCAAATGACACTCTTGTGTAGGGTTACACAACTACTCTGCTCAGGAAGGGTTTTTGTAAATAACACGGACCCAGCTTTGCCTTGCCCTGCCCTGTCTGGTGATGATGATTTTCTGGAGAACCTGATAGTTTTCCGTATTTTGCGGAAGTCATTTCTGCATCCCAGCATTCTAGAAATGACAGCCTGAAGCAGCTGCATGCCTAAAGGAAGAGTGAGGGTGCCTGCACTTGCCTAATACACCACCGCAAGATACTGTGGTGTAACACTGACCTTGCACAATCCTAAAACTGTTTTCTCATCCAGCTCTATTACCGTCCCAAAATAAACAGCCTGCTGTGCAGGCATGAAGCCTGCGTGGTGCTATTTGGAGGCCTTAAAACAAATTTATTGATCAGAGAAGGTGGTTTTTTCCCTTCTGCATGGCTGTTCCCTCAGTGATTGCAAAGGAAACGGGTCTCTGGATACAGACTGGAAATTCAATAGCACACTAATTTTTGTGGGGCAGGAATAAGAACCTGCTGCATCTCAGATGGTATTGTGGGCACAGTAACATCTTCAGCAGACTACCTCCCCCTTTCATTTCAGCACATCCCTGAGGGAAGGGGTAACAACTCCAGGGGTAGCATTTAGGATGGTGAAGCTCTGGAAATCACTCTTGCAGGAGGAAAACAGAGAGTTATGTTTCAGCTTTGCATCCTCAGAGCTACACAGGTCTGCAGGAGGGCCATGAGGTACAAGTGCTACCTGGGTGTCAGTAATGTGTGAAAATGAAAATCAGAATGGTTTGGGTTGGAAGGGACATTACAGATCTAGTTCCAACCACCCTGCCATGGGCAAGGACACCCTCCACTAGACCAGGTTGCTTAAAGCCCCGTTCAACCTGACCTTGGATGTATGCTAGGAGCTGACTTTTTATCTGATAATTACTTTCTTGAGGCTTACTTAGTATGGCTGGAGACTCTTAGCTGTAAAGGGAGGTTATCTGTGAAGAACCTGGAGGACTTTTTGTGGGGTTTTTTTCCCCTTTGCATTCTAAATATGAAAATCCAGAAGACCAAAAGCCTCTTTTGAATACTTGGTAAGAAAATGGACATTTCTAGAATGTGAAGAAAATGGTTACAGCTATGAAGCAATGATGCTAAGTGCTTCAGAAGCAGCCTGGATTTCTAGGGCACAGAACAACTCTAGAAGAAGAGATGTGTAAAACTTAGCAGATTTACTGTATATATTCAAACAGGGCTGTGAAGAAGACATTTTCCCTGTCCTTTCAAAGTGACTAGGGGTTCTTGGTTGCCTTCTTTTATGATAGAAGCCAGACTGCCCAAAAGCTGTCCCGTGTGACCAACCCTCCCTCCTGCCATCAGAGAAACATGTGCAACACATTCAGGCACTCAAGAGTTTCATACTCTCTTTAGACTTCTGCTAAAAAAACCCATACAGCTGTACAGCTGAAAAGAAACAAGAAGCAACTCAAAAGCAGCACAGGCCTGAATTTTCAACAAACTCCAAGGTGCAAACTTTCATTTCTTAATTCACTAAACCCTAGTTCCACCTGCTTTCACTGTCTGCCATCCATCTTGATGCCTGCTGTGGTCCAAGCTTTCTCTCCTTCACTCAGCACACAGCTGGAAGTGCTAATGTCCCTGGCTTTGTCTGGCTCTTCTTTATGTAGAAGTAGCTTCGCTTTCAGCACCTACACCCTCTGGTTCTGGATAGCTCTGGCCTGACTATGCTGGTTTAGTTTTTACTATAGCTTGGTCTTTTCCCATGGAGATGAGGTAATTTTGCATATAATGCATTCTGGAAAGGGCCCCAAAGTATTTCTGTATCCTGTCTCCACATGTAAAAAGGCATAGACAACCTGAAACTCCTTTGAATCACCTCATAGCCTCTAATTTTCCCTATTTGTCATTTACTGAGTCACCTCTAAGGAATGGTGCCTTCCAATGTGACTTTAGGCTTTTGATAATTTTTGTTGTTGATGCTGGAGGTTTGATTTGTTCAGGGTTTTTGGGGCTGCTTTCTTTTTTTTTTGAGATGACCTGCCTTGTAGAAGGCTTCCAGGGGACAGACTTTTAATGCAATATCATAAAATTAATTAGCTTTCATTTATTTTCAAGACACAAGATGTCTAACACTGTATTGCCCTGTAGGTTGGTGACACCATCAACTTCATTTTTATTCACAGGCAGCTCCTGTACTTTGTGACTTCCCACAGGTTTGTGTGTATACACATTTAATTATAATATACTGTTGCTAAATTTACAGCATTAGGTATTTGTGTTTTTCTTTGGGAAACAGTGCTTTCTACCCATAAAGACTTTCACTGTTCACAGTTTAACTGTGCTGTTCACATCCAATAGTTCTCAAACGCAACTAATTTCTTTAAACTGTTACGGAGTTAAAGCTTAAAGAACAAGCTTTGGTTTCTTCACTCTTTACCAATCTGCAAATTAGTCACTGCAATGGAATTCATTAATTTCTCTTAAAAAGCTTATAGTTAGCAATAGTATTAAAAAAAATTTCCTGAATAAACAACTCAATGTTTAAATTTAGCAGAGATTTAACAATCACTGACAGGCGGCCTGTAGTGTTCATCCAGAGATTCCGAAGAGCACTGCATTTGAAACAAATCATCCGTTTGAAAGCTCCGTGTGGTCTGTCAAACCAGCAGGCTGGCAGCAGGTGGGGACACAGGGGAGAGCACATGTACTGCTCGTGGTCAGGTACCTCAGCTCCCAGCACAGTTCCAGCACAGTGGTTGACTCTCTGTCATGTTGCATGCACATAAAGTCTGGATTGTTACAGTTACAAGACGTTATCTCGTGTAGTAATATCAGGGTTATATCAGGGGCTGTTGTTTACATTAATATCCATGACACACTTTATCCATGGCCAGGTATATTCTGCAACAGAGAACAGTAACGATGAGAAACTTTTCAGGTGCTGAGCTCTCAAACCATTTCCCAAACTGACTGCAGCAGGATGTCACCAGGAGTAGGGGCAGCAGTTCTTCACCTTCCAGGTTGCATGTGCATGCTGCCTAAACTATCCATCTGCCCTCCCCTTCCCTACTCCTCTGCTTTCCTCTTCTCACATGACTCACAAGCTAGGATCCCATCCTCTACCACAAACTCCCAAGTTAGAATTTCAACAGCACCCTTCCCTTGCCCCTGCTGCACCACCGTAAGGGTCAGCTCAGACCATTATCTTCCCTGCTTTCCTAACACAGGCTCATAGATGGGGGCCCTTTCCTCACCAGAATGGAGCAGTGCTGTGATCTGTTTGAGCCAGCAGCTGAGGCGGCAGTAGAGAAAATACAGCAGGTTCCAACCGTGCCTCAGGGTAAGATCATACAGGAGTTACAGGGCAACACCCTTGCACCAGTCATGCTATTTTATTATGTGGTACAGTGGGATCCTCTGACTGACCTTCCCCTGAGGGTCTTCAACAAGGAAATTAAAGGGTTACTGGGGAAATGGATCATTACGACCAGGAGAGAACTAATAATGCTATGTTGTCCAAAGTAAGTATTCGTAACTTTAGAGGGAGAACTTGAACTGACTAAATGGTCATCAGAGCAGAACACATGAGAAGGTTTAAGCATTAGGCTTCATCTGCCCATCAGCATCTGCTTTTTTAGCCATAGATAAAACCACATAGTGTATCTGGAACCTCCTTACCTGTCAATGGGGTATCCTCCTTCACAAACATTGACCAAGGCATACAGCTGTCTCAGTGCATACTCATACTGAAATAAACAAACATTGTCAAGAATTTCAGTGATGAAGAGCAGGTATTGTTTATCCAAAAGAATTATGGAAGTGATTTAGAAATGCTGTTAATATTCAAGGTATTTAATTGACAATCCAGCACTAGGCTAAATGTATCTTTCTTCTGTTCACTTTGCTCTTTAAACTTCATTAGGTAAATTCAGCTGTTGCTACACATTGGTCCCTCGGGCAAGGCGCACCCATCTAACCAATTGCATTCAAAAACCCCTTACATATACAACAACAATAACAAAAAAAACCAACCCCAAACAAAAAACAAAACACCAAAACCAAGGAGAACTAAAATTTTAGAGCAATGGAGCTGCCCAATAGCCTGGTTGATTAGAAGGTCCAACTGAAGGACTGCTTTTGATTTGCATACAGTACTTAGATCTTGGCCAACTGGCAGGTAATCCCCCAGCTTTCTGCTAAAATCAGTTAATTTGCTATTGACTCATTTTACCACATGCCACTGCCCACTTGGGTTATCTTGCCTGACATCAGGACTGGGTTTTCTGGAATAGGAACTGACCTCTCATTCTTGTCTGAACAGTGCTCTGCACAACAGGATTTGGCTTTCAGTTGGGATCCCAGGAAGAGTAGACAATAATAAAACCCCTAAACTAAAAGGTGGCTCTCAGTAATTCAACAAGACCATGGAAGTAGCAGCTAGGCTATTGCAACAAACTATGCAAGCCACCATCATATACAGAAATCTAATATACTGGGATTATGAATTTACAGTGGTGGTGTTCGTGTTTCTGTTTTCCAGTAAAGATGCCTCAAGCAGAAATACGCAACTTATTTAGCACTGGGATTTCTAGGGGGGGTGTTGATGAGAGGACAGCACTCGTTAGTAAATTATTTTTGGGTTATTAGTAATCTTCTTGCTTATCTACAGGTGTAGTGGAAGTTGTTTCCTGTTTCCAAAAATATTACTTACCCTTTCTGCACAACTAAGCTGTATGACTGCCCCCAGGCTACCTTTTTAAATAAAAGCTGATTTTGCAGACATGCATATGACTACTGTGCTTGTTTTACCAGTAGGTTTATCAGGTTATATCTAACGCTTGACTTACCATGGCTAAGTGCCAGTTGAAGCAATGAGTTTTGAAGTGGGTCACCGCTGACTGGTAGCAGTCGTAATTGCTGATGGTCAATCTGTCTGACAGAATTTGTTTGGTCTGTTCTTCTGATCCTGTTACTAAGGTGATTATCTTTCGCATGGATTCTTGGATAAATTCTTTCACCTGCACATAAACCAGTAAGAACTTAAACCATGTTTTTCTAAACCTAATTTGAAGACTTTGAGATGTCTCTTTTCCTTAAACCGTCAACTCTTGAGCTTTTTAAGGAACCAAATCTTGCCATTTACTTTTACCACAGTCTTTTGGACCTTAACACACCAATGAAAACTAGGGAGACAAAGTCAGACTCCTGGCTCCCAAAATCATACACTGCCCTTCTAGTGTTCTGGCAGAATAAAGAAAACACCACCACCAACAGTACTATCATTCTGCAGGAGCTATTTGATTTGGGAGACTTAAATTCTACAGAGACAAGAATTTCTCTAATACCAAAGAGTAACTCCTCCCAACAAGAATCCCTGTGGATGCAGATGAGGACTTTCATGGCAATAAAAGCTGAGACTAACTTTTGCACTTCCTAACATTTTCCTAGATAATCACTACTGAATGTGCCTTGTGGAATTTTAAAGGAAGAATAAACCATCAGCTGGAGGTTACCAGTCTGAAAAGGAATTCTGTTGCAACTTGCAAAAACTGCAAGCAATCCCATTGGCTTCAGGGGTGTTACTATTGCTTATGATGGAAACAAACCTGACCTGGCGTGTAGTTCAATTATTTAATTTTTTGTGCTTACCTCCAAGTGTACTTTTATTTCTGCAGCAATCTTCTTAGCCTCATAAATGTCATTGGTAACCATCAGCTTTCGCTTCATGATTGCAAGAGGCACATCAGGACTAGGCGTTAGGTCATAGTGTTCTACAGGTGGCAGAGAGATGGGGACAGCTTTCTTCCCCATGCCCTGAAACTGCATCACTTTCATGGAGGAGATGCTCTGAGGGTTAGAAAGTAAAAAAATGGAAAGTGTCAATCCCCTCCAGTAGACAGTCTGTCCTTGCTTTGACATGCAAACCCAACACTCTGAACTTGCTTTGTTACAGAAAATAAAGGAGATCATAGAGTTGTGTGTGGGTGTGCTCATGTTGGGTTTTCCAATAAAAGGGCAAAGCTGCCAAAAATTGGGGAACTTTTATTTCCAAAACTCATGGTGGGGAAAAAGATCCATCAGGTTCAGTAACCCGATTTCTTTTATTTTACAAATATTTAATGTGTTGAATAATGGGACTACTATAAATGATATATCACCTCTTAGCTCTTCCCATTTGAAGGATCAGTGTACTTATTAACTTTTCATTAATATTCACAATATGTCTGTAAGTGATAAATACCCTTCTTATACTTGACTGAAGTGTTAAATCTCTGAAGGAGCTTGGAGGACAATTCATATCCTGACTCCCTAGATTAAAGCATAATACAAGGCTGTATTTCTTTCGTATCATCTCTTAAATGCTCAGTGGTCTTCTAAGATGAACAGTTTCATTTTCTAAATCAACTCTGCCAGTTTATAGTAGGGGTTTTTGGGGGGGAGGGAGTGTTGTTTTGGGGTTTTTTTGTTTTGGTTTTGTTTGTTTGGGGGTTTTTTAGAGAGTGAAAGCATAGAGCACAAAGGATTTTAAGATCTATCTGACCAGGAAGCCCACTCAAATACATACTCTGTTTCCATACTGCATCACATGGCTGGTGTTGGTACGTTTCTTCACCAGCTGAAACTGCTTGTGGAGTGTTTCTTTTCTTAGGTCCTCCTGCACGAAGAAACACAGATATTTAAATTCAGCTATTCTAAAAATGCTCAATTTAAGCACTTCTAAGCATTAAGGAAACCTGGAAAGGGTCTTAGCTGTCAGTATGTGGAAGGAAGTATAGGGCAAGAGCTATACAAACTTTGAAAGACGTAAAAGTAAAAATTGAAAGGAAGATTAGACAGCATATTCTCAAATTCCTTTTAATGATCTCCTCATCTCCCAGCAAATGGGCAAGAAGGGCTAGCATACAAATCCCACATTTGTTTCATTAGTACCGTTTCCCATTACGCTAACAAATGGGTTAGCCACAGCTCACTAAGGAGCCCTGAAGCAGAGGTACAACCTCCTGAACTACCCAACTTGTTTAACAAATTTGGAGGTGTGGTCTCAGAAAAGCAAATCAAGATTATGTGAATTTCAAACCAGAAGTCAGACAGTTTCTAATCTTCTAAATAACAAAAGAATACAATGTTTCCAAAAGTTAGTTTCAGAAAGAAATCTAGTGACCCAAACAAATAAAGATTGTATGTAGTTCTGAATAGTAGAAAAATACTTTTTAACAACTCAATTTGTTTATTTCAGTCTCTCATAAGAACAAGTATTTTCACAAATCCTGTAAAGGAGCTATTTTTAAAAAGCGAGGTGATTTTTCATGCATGGAAATGCAGAAACCTCATCTAAGTAACTTACCATATCTGAATCTTCCATCCAATTCACACTGTACCAGTCCCCAAGATAAGTCTGCCTTTCATCATCATAGTAACATGCATACGATGACTCTCTGGGATTGGCAGCTGTTGTTGCATAAACTGTAAGACAAATAGAAAGCATTTTTTTTAACCCCTTCCACATGATTTAGTACTGAGCTGCACGTGATGTATTTGTGTAACTATTTTGGCTTTCAGTCACTTACTTCTAAATAGCAGGAAGGAAAGAAGCCTGTTAACCATTCTGTTCAGTCGGCCTCAATGCTTTAGAATACTTAAGCATACTTTTAGAATACTGTTAGAAGTATGCTGGATGTGTGGTCTGGGGTGTTTAAAGAATAGTATACACTTCTGAGGAGAAAATCTACTATTTGAAGAACTGCCTGAGAACACTGTGCACTGACAACATCTATACATTCATTTTCTTTATTACAATAATGATTTTTCCCCAAACTTGAAGTAAATCCTCTAAATCATCTTTTCTTACAGAAAACCACAGAATGGTTTGGGTTGGAAGGGACCTCAAAGATCACCTAGTTCCAACCCCCCTGCCATGGGCAGGGACACCTCCCACTAGTCGTCTCTAACACAACACACACACGATATCTGTAAACACATCTTACAGGCATTAAGACAAAACCTATTCTGGCTTTTTGCCAAAGTCACCTCTTAGCATACTTGTGTAACTTCATAAAGTCCAAGTGTCGAAATGAAAAAGCGTTAGGTTTGCTTTTATAGAGCTAAAGCGTTGTTTCTACTCAGAAAGTACTTAAAGTTCAAAAACCAAAATAGTCTTAAATCTTGTCCAAGTAGGAAAGTGCTCTTCTTAGCACCCTTTAAAATGCTTACTAAGTAAACTGTTAAGCTTTGTACTTCACTACTGAAATCTGCCAAAGACAGCTTCCTACTATAATACATAAATTATCAATTTTCTGCCTTTGTAAGTCCATGGCAGAGCTGGTGGTGAAACCAGGGAGTCCTTGGACTGGAAATTCTGAATAGAACAAACTTCGAAAAATGGCAATTCTCTGAACATTCATTTTGAACAATCATTAATATGAAACTTGGTGTGAACTTTCTGTAAGCCTTTGATAGGGCTGTAAGAAGTCTAAGTGGGTGCCAGGCAGCACACTCCAGGGCCAAAGAGCCAGGAAGCCATGGATAAGCACATGCTTGGTCTTCCCTGCAATCACAGCTTCAAAACTACAAGCAAGCCAGACCATTCAGTCTCCTGGGTTATTGTACAAGTAAGTACAGCAAAATCGCCTGGCAATGGTGTCTCACATGTGCCTTTGCTACTCAATGAAACTGATAGCAGAAACTTCACATCTACTGTTAGCAGTGCTAAGGCTGAAAAATTCCAGTATGACTTACTACCAGTTAAGGGCAACCCCATAGTTCCTGAAAACAAATCATTTTTCAACTTCTCAGTTGCAAGAAAAAGAAACCCCCAGTAGTCTTTATAAGACTCCATTACTTCTTTAAAAGGAACTTCCCATAAGTGGAAAATATCACTTTCTCCAATTCTTGCGCTCCCTGCTAAAACTCTACTCTACTAAAAACTTCCACTGCCTTGAACCTATCCTTGACACGGTACCTGCTTAGGTATGTGACAAGTTGTGATATTTAACTCCAGTAAGTTAACTGATTGCTCACCATTGATATTATCAGGCAAATGATTCATCATAGATCCAGACTCACATGCTTCAATATAAAACACCATCTGCAAGATAAATCAGAGACCTTAAGAAATTCCATGAAGACACGGACGAAAGTTCTTCAGTGCTTTTCAGTGGTAGCTAGTTGGCCTGTACTGCTGTGCCTGAACAAGAGCTATCCATAATGCTCTAAAATAAAAAACCAAAAGCAAATAGTTCAATTTTTCATTTCTTGGAAACTAAAGTATGTGGAAAGGGGAAACAATCACAATGAAAAGAAGTTATTAATCTCTGTAGAATCCATGGGGATCTACTGACTAATGTACAAAGCACAGATCAAATACACAGTCACTAAAGAGTGACACAACACACAGTGTGCACAGTAATGTACCACTCCTGAATGTGGTATTGCTGGAACCAATGGCCATTTCTGTATTCCTAAATACAGCCAGCCATAGAAGAGAGATTACTGCAGAAAGTTGCTCAAAGAAAGGCAAGCTGCTAAAATGTTATAAATATTAGTTTTTCACTACATGTGATGAAATAAATGCACAGAATTTTCTAACAAGAGGTACAGTCTCTTAAGTTATATTAGTAACTGTAAGAGAAACATGTCGTATATCTAGACTTCCTGTAGCGACAGTGCAGTCTGAAGCAAACAAAGTACAGGAAGAAAGAGTCAGGTACATATTATAAGGGTGTAGTAGTTACAGATGGTGTTTCTCCACTGTTGCTCAGAATATATTCTCCTTTATCAGAAGGCTGTTCGCTAAATCTCAACATCTATTGCAAATACAGAGGAAACTAAAAATGGAAAGAGAAAATTTGGATAGGATCAATACTTTTATGTACAAAATCCTAATCCAAATTCCATTGCATGGCAACAACTTCATCCTGTTTTAAATAACTCTCAACATGAAGACAAATGTCTCTCTTCCGTGCCAGCTGCTCCTTCAATCTCACAACTTCCAATAATGCTTGTTTACCTTCTGGTATTTTTTGTGACGATACATGTACCAAATAGTCTTATTCAAGTCCTTCACATGAAGCTGTAAAATAAGAAGCCTTATATTAAAACCACTTATGTTCAAGAGAGACACAATTCACGTAATAGGAATAAATACTAACTGTTGTGGATATGTATACTGTTTCCCATTAAATGTATCTGGTGCTTTGCCCAAAATACAATGTTCCTGTATTTACCACTCTGGAAAAGATGAGTAATGGTCCCAGATGATAAGTATAGTGCACCAGAAAGTCAAGTCATACCTGTGTGAAATAGTCTGCTTGGACCACTGAAGTCCAATGAAATATTAAATTACTTAATTTCACCTGCAGGCTTAAATTCAAACTGGAAAAAATCCAAACTGTTATGATGAGAAGCATATTGCTCTTTTTCTGCCTCCCCCCTCAATATGGCAAAGCATCAAATATTTTTGTGTTTTACATTTGTTAGTTACTATTTTAGTATGCCACTAAAAGGATGGGTTTTATGACAAAGTAATCTCCCAAATACTTACATCGTCATCAGGAAAAGCCAGAAGTCCTGGAGCTCCATGGTCAGTGAAATAAACAAACACATGATCCTTGGGACCACTGTATTGAAAAAATTGCAAACAAGTTCTTTCTAACCACTCCAACCTGATCTTCATTACAACAACAGTCATCTGCTTCTCAAAGCTAACACATGTCAATATTTGAAAATAATATAGCTGAAGCACCTCCTTTTGGTATTGCTTTTTTCCTCTCAAAGCACAGTACTTTGGGTGCTTATGAGAAGAGATGAGCGTCTGCAAAAGGAATGAAAACAGGGATATAAGCTAGTCCTTCAAGCATGGGGAACATGGCAAGTACACTTCATGTTTCAAGCTGTAAACTGATTGCTGGTGAGGCAGGGGCTGGTGCATCGAGTATGGTGGGAGCACAATAGGTTTTTAATGTCTATCTGAAAACTCTGTTATACTGTGGACATTTGTAGCAGTCTGGTTAAAAAGGAATGTTTTTATCACTACGTTATACCAAGGCACCAATAATACAGAGAAAAACCACAAAAACATCTTTCTAAGATTCTTACATGTGTTTATGTACTTCCTTGTTATCTGCATGCCATACTTAGCCAAATCAGTGCCAGCCCATACCTCCATGGAGAAATGATGTGTATACAAACTCACCCATTAGGCTAGACTGGCATTTACACTAAATCAGCTGAGCACTGCATGCTCACAGGCTTTGATTCCCTAATATCTTTGTAATACACAGTTTGCCATAGATTTTTATTGCACTCTAAATCTAACAGATCACATTTGGGTGATATTAAAGTCTTGCCCTAACAGATAGATCTACAAAGGGATTTTGCTTTTAAACTGTATTCAGGAACAATTAACTACAAAATACGTGAACAGACTGTAAGGAGTCTCCAAGCCCTCCTCTTTTCCTCTGTATCAGTGATTCAGATACGCATATTTGCTTTTGCTCTTTCCTGACTGCAAAAACGTACAACTGCAGCAGCCCAAGGGGACACTGTCCAGCCTTCTGCATGGCCAATAACCTGCTGGTTAGGGAACAACCTGGAAAACAATCTACAGGCCTTCTGGGCAGAGGATAATTGAGTTCTTGTCCCACCGAATAGCAGAAGTCAGGCCACTTGGAAATTCACATGAGAGCCTAACAAAGAACGGCTAAGTGTTATTTTTCTGGGTCCCACTCTTGACCCTAAGTACAAAAAAATACAACGAAGCTGAAATGTAAATAACTAGGACTTTCATATGTGGGTTTAAGATGTCCTCCTGTGTAGCTGAAGAGTCCTTGGCCCCCGCATAGACACTCCCTTATTTGACTTGCAACATCAAGCTTTCACTGGGGAGGTGTGTTCTGAAGACCTTTGAAAGAAAAATGCTTTATAGTCACCCCCTGACTCATTCCAGCTACCAGGAAAGAACAATCTAGTAAATGTGCAGGAATTTATTAACTTTCTGCCTATATGCCTTGCATATATCATTTGCTATTTCAGCTTTTCCAAATGAAGCTTAAACAACTGGCAGCAATAGTTTATTGGACTACTTTCCTGCTGCTGCTTTTTTTTTTATTCTCCCCAATGCCCGGGCAGGATTCTGCTGTTCTGTTTCATTGCTTTACCTATAAAATTAATCTGTCAGATGAAGCACTTGGACAACTCTTCTTAAACTAGACTAGTCCTTCCAAATGGTCAAATTAAATTTTTAAAGGTTTTATAGGAAATACCGTACATAGAAAAATATAATATAAATGGTACTGAGTCAGAAATAGAACACACCTTACTAAATAGGCATCATACCTTCATATCTCAAATTCTGTAGAAGCAAGATGAATAACTGACACCAGATATCTTTCCAAGATGTCTTCTAATTAGGCCCGTAAATATATTGCTTTTATTCTTGAATAATAGATCTTACATTCTACTTAGCCAGTTGACAATTTATTATTGTTCATATATTAGAATACTGCCAAACTTACAATCATTTGTGTAACTTAGTTTACAAATACCTTAGGCATAATACATCCATCACACAGTTAATTGCTTATACTACTTTTTCAATCACAAAGATTTTTTTGCATTAAATATAAACTATAATTCCATTTCATTACATTCAGAGCCTCAATAACCTTACCCCTGCCACAAAGACCAAGACTGGGATTAGACATGCAACTCTTTCAGCTGATGAGCTGTTTAAGTTATCTTTGTCCCTCTGCCACAGACTGCTAAGTCTCACCACTTCAGGTGCCCAGTACAACTGTTTGTGTACATTAAACCAAGTCTTAGCAAACCCCTAAAACAAAAACCTTAACAAAAATCTCTCTGAATAGCCACTTTTGCATAAGACAGCTGTCTAAATACCTTAATACAGTTGATACTATCACCTAGAGATTTCATTCTGGACTCTATACCAGTTGAATATCAGCAGTTGCTTTTTGGTGTTTAAAAATAGTTTAAGATAGTTTAAGAAACCAGAACCACTGAATTTCTAATGTGAATGACCTGGAATTGCCTTTGATAGTAGTGGTGGATTCTCAAGTTGCTCTAATTTACCCTATTCTTTTGTTGAAATCAGTGCCAATGTACAACTACACATGCAATTATTTTCCAAATTGAACTTCTCTTACCTCTTCAATACTTTTCCTGATCCCACCCCCTTCATTGCTTCTGCATCTCCTCTGAGAATAGCAAGGAAGTTCTTTGGAGTAACATCCTAAGGATTTAAGAGGATTAAAGTTAAATCTGATCATAAAACAACAAAAAAAAAAAAAAAATCTTCATTTAGAAAGATGGCTTCTGAAAACGAGTCTATGTGTGGATGGCAAGCTTAGCTGGCCATCCCTTTCAATCACTCATTATATTATGTGTTAGCCTTGATGACTCACCAAATCATGAAATCACAAAGTTATTGGATTACTGTTCTGATTTAATGAACCAATTAGTCTTACACAGCTGTTCTTCAGATTGAGTTACATTTTTGAATGCAAGACTTTTCCTCCTTTTATTTCATGTGCCAGCACAAAAAACACTATAAAGGTTTATTTTTATGACCACTGCTTCACTTCAAAGCATTTATTGTTTATATTCATCTTTTGAACACCAAACTTCATGCCAAACCGCAGCAGGCTAATAAGGTGGAGGCTTTATATTATGTGCATGTTGGAGTATAAGCTATAGGCTGAAAGGATTTATTCAGAACACTGGCTAATGCTAAAAGGATTTATTCAGAACACTGGCTAATGCTAAACCTTCCCTCCAGAATGGTGTTTCATTCTTACCTCCTTTGTGTAGTCCTTGGGCACTCCAGCATACACATCTGTGCCATTAGGCCTATTGATGACAATGCCTTTTGTAGGATTTCTGAAAGTCGAATGGAATATAAATATGAATAATTAGCCATGTGCCATGTAACAACTAGGAAACCATTTAAACTGTCCTGACTAGCCGGCCTGCCTGGGAGAGCGCATGGGTACCTGCACCATATGATCTCACAATATAAACACCTTTTCACTTCAGTCAGTTACATATGCCTGCCTCAGGTGTCCTTACCCTCAGAGTACTTTCAAGTATCCCACTTCAGATCATGCTGATTTACCTGAAGATGTAGGCAGGTGATCTCTTATACTATGATCTCTCTTTCAATGTTCCCTTAAGGCCCCTTTACTCTTTGCTCTCAGTACTGCTGAGCACATGAAGTTCACTGATTTCTTTTGAAGCTGTCTCAGAATTAGAGGCTGTATCACTGAACTGTTTCACATAGACAGCAGTGATATGCTCTAGGCAGCCACCAAAAATGGGACACGTACACTGTTGAATGTACATTCTAGGAATTAAACTGATAAAAGTCAAAAAAGTCTTGCAATTCATACACAGAGCTCCTGTAAACTGTTACACCTGGGAGTTAAGGTCACTTACTCTCATAACAATGAAGGTCTGCAGTCCTCAGTGCCACAATAGATGCAGAGTTGTGGAAATAAGGTTTAGGAAGCTCAGGAGCACATTTCAAAGGAGAATTACTGTGCTCATGGATAAAATGTCTCCATGCATATCACAGGTGTTTTTTCCTTACAAAACTACTACAAACTCAAAATGCATTGGTGGCTATGGTGTGATTGTAGTAACCATACAGTTTGTGACCAGTGTACATTCATCACTTACTCATCATTATCAGCAATGTCATCATACATCATGACAATGATCTGGTCATCTGGAATTCCATTTCGGTGTACAATCTGGTATGCATGGCACACATCTGCCTGGAATTGAGCAGATTTTCATTATTAGCTTTAACAGAGATTAAAGACCAGACGAAAAATAATTTTGCAGGCCTAAGAGCAGGCAGTTATCCAAAAGTAACTGACCACATTCAAATATAAGCCATTGAGGGTTGCTAGAGGGATGATATGAACAGCTTAAACCAAAACTCGATGTCTTTAACTAGGAGTAGTTGCATTAGTTTACTAAAATATTTTGGTTTCTTATTTAAACCAAAACCAGAAGTTACTTCAGACTTGGTAGAGATGACAACATGTAACAAAAGGTTCTCAGCAGTGTCCTGGGAGAAAATCTAAATGAAAACTTTGTGCATTGACAGACAAATCCAAAATGTGCCAAGAAGCAGAAGGAAAGAGCTGGAGTTACACCAATTTCGATTGGTTCTGCACCAAGCCTGCACAACTAAGCAGCAAAGACTATCACTGGCTCAAGCAAGTGTGGTTTACTAATCTATCTCTGCAAAGATTTTATTAAATTTTGTTTTACTAGATGAGAATTTTGATTAAGGAAAATTTCCTTTTTACTTATGTATTTCTTGTAGAGTAACACTGAAGCAGCTTCAGGGCAAGAAAACAGAATTCAGTGGAAAATAGAATTGCAGAATTCAGGCTCTTTTCCTAACTTGTACAGGATATGAATAAGCAGATCTTCTTTGCAGAACCATCTTCCTATGACACAGAAATAACAACAGTCATCAAAGTGATATTACAGTAAATGCAAGCCTCTATCAGAATGCTAAATTCTTAGTAACCCCAGCCCAAATAATTATCTTTAGAGTTGCAGTCTGTGATTGACCTAATGGGATATTAACAATCATTCCTAAACCATAAAACACATGCTAGAAAAATCTGTGCAGATTTAATGGAAGAAATCTCATCTAACAAACACACACTCCAAATGCAGGCAAGAAACAAGCTTTAGAGCTTACTTCTGTTGAACTAATCTAATTTCCTAGTTTGTAAATCAAACTGAAGTGGTTTAAGTGTACCTATGTTAAGTTCAGATGACTTAGGAGTATTAGTGATTTTGACTGGAAAGGACACCGAGACTGTAAAATTCTGTCACTTTATAATCCTTGGTCTTCTAAGTGCCATTGAATCTGAGAAGAGAGGGTAGTTGTGCAAGATTCTGGGAAGGGTGAGGCACACTCAATGCTAATGAATTCTCCCACAGCAAAATCTCTTCACATGACTAACCCTGAATGTTAAACTGTCCTTACTAAAGCAGTTCCATCTTCCACTACACAGGTCAGCCTATGTTCTCGTCCCCCTGTCTCAGACAATCTGCACTGTTTATAGTTCTCCATTTCCCTGTATGTCATTATACCGTCTGCTGCCTCAACAAGTCAAAAGGTAGAGGTTAAACAGAATTATAAAGGCATGACCTATAATATGAAACAGCAGTGTGCAGGTTTGACTAAACATGTATTTCATTTTCAGAAGTAACCCAAGCAGAAGAAAACACTAATTGGGCTTCTCTACACTGATTAATGAATAGATCATAGATCCCCTCTCCCTCTCAAGACATAATACACATCTGTTATCCTGACAGAACCAGTTATAGGCTGGCAACACACAGAAATGCTCAGACATACTATCATGATATAATATTAACATATTCAAGCAGCAAGTGTCTGTGCTCCCACAGCCAGTAGGAACTTCAGAGGTGTTTTTAATTAATACCAGAGTACCACAAATCAGTCACACTTTGTAAATGTATATTTTTTGTCTCTCTTTCCTTGATTCATTGACTGCTTGCTCACTATGTCCTGTCTTAGTAAAGTCAACATTGGTGATAAATTTAAATGGGTTAAATTCCCTAGTGTGGCAGGAAACACAACAACATAATCAACTCCCCTCGACCTTAATTTACGCTTCTTTGAGGACTGCCCCAGCCTTTTGCTAAGACTTTTGCTAAGACTTTTGCTAAGGGAGCTGTACCTGCTGGTAGCATAATGATATCACTACACAGGCTAGAGCAGTGAAACCATGTTTTGCTGCTAAAGCTTCACTGGCTAAAGCAGGACAGTTCTAAGTAAAGAATTGGGGTTTTTTGCACAGAATTAGCTAACCTGACTAGCCACCTTTGATGTTGATCACATGCTCCTCCTGTTCCCTCCATACACACTACAATAAACAACCCACCTCTATAAAACCAGAATACAAAGTCCCCTGCTAGAGTAGGGCCGCATATGTGAATCTAGAGTATTTCCTGTTGATGTGTAACTGCCTCTCAAACACTGCTGAAACCACCCTAAAAGAGTACACTGCTTGGAGGAGATGGGGGAGGTGAGAAGCTGGAAAAATGAATTTGTTTCATGACACATTCATGCATAAATAGTTCCTGAAGGGAAAAGCTTACACTTCTGTTAAATTGGTTACTTCTGGTCTTATGACTGCTACGCTCATGGCAAAAAGCATGCGTAAGGAACTGTCAACTTCACTGAAAAGTGTCACTGTTCCCATTACAGGTACACTGAAATGCCATGGCCCTAAAAAGAATGAACTGTAATATATAAGCAAAGTAGAAGAATATGTCTGAAATGCCAGCCATGTTTCATTCCTTCACTTAAACACAGATCAGCCAAAAACTATAACTATGATTAAGAACTTAAGAAAGGTTTTCCCATAGCTTCGGTCACAATTTCGTAAACCCAATGAAGGAATGTTATTGAAGCCATGAACCAAAAAGATCCTTAATGTCTGTTACCTGCAAGACTGGAGAATTTAGGACTGTCCTGGAATAAGATACTACTTCAGTTGATAGTGTCCAAAACCCTGAATAAATAGAGTCCCTGGCTCATAAAGCTCAGTAAGTAGGAGACTAAAAGCAACAACTGAGAACAGACCCATGTGTGCTGTATTTGCTCATGTATGTTGCTAAGCTTTCCAGAGATAGATCATCTAGCTTTATATAATAGAGAGCTGAGCCACTTTCCCAGGGAATGGTGGGAGTATTCTTTCTCTTATGCTTTACGAGTGCTTAGCTGTATTTACAGCATAGCAGCCAGTCTCACCATAATAAAGCTGCTATACGGAAGTCAGGGTAACTGCTGAGGAGCAGAGAAATGCACATCAATAGTCCTTCCGCAGCCCAAGCAACTCTAATCAAACCCACTAAGATATGTATAAAACCAACAAAGAACTGAGAAGTCACAAGCATAAGACAATATACAAGCTAGCTTTGCAATGACTGTAAGCCTAACACATTGGGCAGTATGCTATTCAAAACACTTCAGATTTTTTCAGGGAGTTGGTGAGTTAAATGTGTAAGACAAGTTTACATCATCCTGAGTAGGAAACTGTCACAGTTCAGCCATTATAGAGGAAACAAGTCCCTGCAAGGTGTGAATGTCGTTCACAGATAAGTGCAAATGGTGGTTTTTTCCTGATCTTGTCTACACTTGAGGTTTGCACCACTCATAGTGGATCCTGACCTCTGACAGCTGAATCACAAGTCCTAGAAGCAGTTTCAGACTCCTTGTGGTTACAGGTGCAAACTCAGAGTTTCCAGGGTCTGCACAATCTTTACAAATTCACTGTTCATACAGCACATACAATGATGGGCTGCTTTTCCCACAGCTTTTCATGTATGAAATTGGAGGCATTTTTGAAGGTGTAAACTTCTTTCAAGGTTGTTTAGTCTGATGAACATGCAGTGCCACCAGATAACTACTGTGGAGGCAAAAGGGTATGTTTTGATTGTGTTGTGTGCAGACAGCATGCAAAACCACCAGAGCTCACAAAATATAAGTGTAATTCAAACATACAACATCATTTATTAACTATACCCTGAGCAGCTGAATAGTCTGCTGAGGTCTCAAACTGCAAAGGGTATCATGAGTGCTTAGTTACATGTAGAGAATAGCAATCACTCCAGTAACAAAAAAAGTCACATTGAGTAACTGCCTACAGGAACATTTACATCTACAAATTCACTTGTACACAGGCCAGGTTAGAGAAGTTCAGAGGAAGAAAGATTATGGCAAGAGGAAAGTGAGTTCAAGTCCAACCTATTTTTTTCTGCAATTTCTCCCTTGGAAAGCAAAGAATTACACAAATTTGCAATCCTGGAGCCCTGCTCTGCTTTCTGACAGTACAAGTATTATTCTACTGAAAACTAACATGCATTTCTGCATGTATTCACTATGGAATGACTTTCATGATGGATGAAGCACAGAACTGGAAGTCCAAGTCCTATTCCCAGTTCCACCACAGTGACATGTGCAAGTCATTTAAGTATCTGCAGTGCTTTTGCTCCCACCACTGGAAGGTGGGGAGCAGCATCACACGCAAAGACATGCTGATCAGTCTATGTGTTTCCAAAAAATCTGTTATAACTCCCAAGATGTAGTACCTTTCCTCCTGTGTACAACTCTCCTCAAAGTCTATGGCTCAGCTGGTTTTTCTGGGAACAAATTTCCCCAATTTTTAGATACCCAAGGCACCCATCTCTAGCTTACACTTCATGGTGCACACACACCATGGATTTTCCATGACTATCCGCTGCGTCTGCCCTCCCATCATGGGTGCTCACTCCTGCCAGGCCCTTAAGGTTGGCCACAAAAGGCCACTAAGCAAAACAGCACAGGCTGCTGACATGCTGTGTCTTCTGGGACTTGATTCTTTTCATAAGAAGCTAACAGGGACAGTGTCCTGCCCAAGACAGGTAGCAAGAGCTAAGTCCCATTCTGAAGGATCCTTCGCAGACTCCCTTGACATTGGTTTCATAACTTCAATGAGACTATTAGTTGTGTTCCAATTCTCTTTTTCCCCAAACGTTAATACTGTATCTGAAGCAAGCAGCACAGGTTAAAACAAAGAATTTTCTAGGACTGAAATTCTGAACAATCTGACATTGCAGATATTTTTCATTGTTTGGAGATGTTATCTCCAAAATAAAGGTGTTCAAAAAAATATCCGTTCTTGTTTTTCTAACCTTGAAAAGCATGACCACATTCAGAAGTTAATTTGCTTCTGTGAAACTGGCATATTCAGAAGACTTACTGTTGGACAAACATGTAAGTGTGCATCATGTGTTCTTCATAACTTTATACCTGGCAGATGTACTTGCCAGTGAAGGCTCACTGACAGAAAGGTTAAAATCTTTACTCTAGGATAACTGCGGAAAAGGAATTCTCATGAGGCACAGCTTCAAAAATGTAGTTATATTTAAAGAATTAATGTTGTGGTATTAATTCCTCCTAGAGTGGAAGGGAGCCAGTAATACTGGTTATACAGCATTAGCAACAGCCAGAGCACAACTCAGTAATTTAGACACCACAGAGCAGGCAGTGATTGAGTATAACTCAATACAACTAGTATTCTATAATTGTTTTCCAATTTAAACTTCAAAAATATCTTTTTTGTTGTTTGTTTGGTTTTTGGGCTTTTTGGGTTTTTTTTTTTTTAAGATTTAATTTGAAATAGGAACAGTTTATATTAAGGCTGTAATATTCCGACTACGATTATCAGGTTATAGCTATAGTGCAAGGAGCTGGAAAAATCCCTAAAACAAGTTTGTCAAGGTGTTGAGCTAGCATTTGCCAGTAACAGGTTCTTCTCCAGATGCAACAAGGCTGTCAGTCTGGTTCATTTAGTTTTAAGCTCATTACTGCACTGGAAGTTACAAACTGAATGTGAGCTGAGAGGGAGGATAAGTGTAAACATAAAATGCAGTGTGCCCAACACATGAAGGCTCATTTCTTCCCCAATCAACAGAAGTAGAGAGGATGAAGCCTCTCTAGATTTTAGAGGCAGTTACATTAAAAATAATAAATACTTTAAAAGTTTCAGTGTTCAGCAAATCAGCTGCACCCAGTATATTTAATAGAGTTTAACTTTTAAAATGCTGGTTTTGTACACTAGTGTTTCAATCTCTGTCAAGTTCATCTTAACAAACAAGAGTTTAGTAAACTGTTTTCCTAACATTTAGAAAAATACAAATGCATACATAAATCAGAAGTAATGGACCCTGTTCTCCAGGAAAACAAGAGGTAGTTCCAAGTTTAGAGCAAAGACTGCATTTAAGCGTAATTAATCTGTTTAAGGGATGGTCCAAGAATTCCCCAAAGGAAAAAAAACTGCCATAGTCTCCTGACTGCTGATTATAAGTCTTGAACTTCATCAGTTAAGTCACTTGGATTTAATCCTGTCCATCCTGACACTCACACTCAGACCACTATTCCACAACACACTGGCTTTGACAGCAGTGTCAAACTCAGGAGTTCCTGTTCCCTTTTCACCCCTGCCATTCACTCTGATTCCTGCACCCTGGTGCACTGTATCCTTGTTGTGCCAACACAACACTGAGGCTATGCTGTCAAACACAGTGAGCAAACAGATTAAGGTTTAAAAAAAAAAAAAAAAAAAAAAAAAGGCACCCTTCTGCATGTCCTCCACCCCACAAAAACACACTGTGCATTTGCAGACTTTGCAGATTTTTAACTGAAGGAGGAATATAAGGAACATAAGAAAAAAAGGAAAAGAAAAGTAAAGAAACATGCATGCATTCCAAAGTAAGGTTTAATTCTAGACATCATTTGTTCATCAGGAAGTCAGATCCTCTAGACTAGTACTAGAATATTTAACCTAAATGATACAGGCTTCCCAGGATGCAGAAGTGTAATTAGAGGAAGAATACTGCTCCTCCTGCTGATGACAGCTTTTCAAAAGATGCAAGACTGGTCAAATTCACACACTTCTGGAAGTCTAGAAGTACTTGCCCAAATGACAGAAGGCCTGAGCTAGTCTAGGCAGCTATCATCTATCTCCCTGCAAACCTCAGAGCAGGCATTTTCTGGAGCGTGGCCAGCATCAGCACATGGGACAATGTAAGCAGTCCTTACCTGGTGTCGATAGTTGTACCAGCCGTTCGAACCTGCAACAATCACCACCCAGTGCTTGCCTCCATTTTCAGGTTCTTCCATGGGGAATGTGCTGATGCCCAGAGCACAGCCCAGCAGCAAAACTGCTTTCAATATCATCTTCTTTATTTACTCCACAAACGGAAGAGGAAAAAGAAAATAATCCCTAATGAAGAAGTTTGAGAGAAGTAGATTAGAGGACATCAGTCAAAAATAAACACAAAACAAACATCAGTAGTAATGCAGCTGTAAGCTTTTGTTGCTTGTGGGTTTTCTTTGCGTGTTACAGACCATTCAACCAACCCACAGTAGTTTCTGGTCATATCTTCCTTTAGCACCAAGCTGCTACTAGTTACATGAGTCTTCTTTCAGCTATCAAATCTGACTGAAAGTGATTCTGAATAGGACAACCAAGTCTTTCAGCTCCCTCTGGTTGTTTTGTTCTATAATAGCTGGCAATGAATAAGCCTCAAATACAGAGTAAGCCTCACTATCAAGTATTTATTTCACAGATAAAACTGTTTTTCATATTCATACTGTTCTCTTGGTCTCTGCTTATTCAGTTCCTTGTTTTCCACTCACTGGCAATTCGCCCAGTACTACTGAGTCAAATCCTGGGTGATATAGGTACAAGGATCCATAGACACGGAGAACTGCTTGGGACTTGGAAGGTCAGAGTGTTACAAAAGCTCTCTGTGCCTACAAAGCTAGAGAGGGTGGATGCAGAGCGCTGCTCTTTTGCACAAGATAGAGCCCTCACCGCTAGGGTTGGGGGGAAGTGCAGACTGCAAGAGCCTCATGCTATTTGTGTAACCTCTTATGCTAGTGGAGAGCAAACGTGAACCTGTACCACATGAAAAGAGTAGCATTTTCATCTCATTTGCACAATGGTCAAGAGTTTGCACAAGGTGCACAGTGAGAGAAAAGCCTATGGATGTCAAATTCAGAGAGGCGGAGCCAGAAAGGAGGCCTGAGCACAGGCAAAACCGGCTCTTTCTACTTTCCTGAGAGGATTAGAAGTAGTGTCCCCACTAGTGAACTTCCTGAGCACCTTCACTGTGTGTTAAAATGTCTGCTTTAAAAGCAAACAATCTGGTGACATCTAACCCAAGATACTGTTTTTTCGAGGGGGTGGAGTAAGGTTAGGTATATTGGTCACAGTCTCAGGTCTGCTGCATCTCATCTGCTCTTAGCACATGCGCAAAGATTATGTATTTCCTCCTGCTCCGAGGGATGGAATTTTACTCTGGCCTTCTCACAAAAAAGATTCTGGAGGTTGATCGTTGCTGCTATGTATAGAAGAGGTGGTGTACCATGAGGCAGAATAGCCTACTTTAGCATGATTGTCTCTGGAATAAAAGCTGGAAACTCTCAAGCCATGCAACACAGTCACAAGGCACAATGTCAAAGCTACCACTAAACCAAATAACTAAGCAGTATCTAAGTCAACCTCAGTTCCCCACAGTCAAAACCATCCATCTGCACCTACTCAAATGAGGCTGAAACAGAGAAGTAGGCAGCTCACCTCCAGAGCTAGTGTGTGCAGTGAAGACTGCTAACGTAACATCTAGTACGGGTCTTTCCAAAACTGGATCTGCTGGCCACCAACATTAAGACTTGCAAAGCAGTAGTATGAAAAGTATGTTTTATATATAAATTTGGAAGGTGGTTTGGGGTTTGTTTTTTTTATTTTATTTTTAATGGACATATCGAAGTAAAGGAATTTACCTTAGCATATCAGCTCCTATAGGAACTGCTGTTACCATACAGAAAAGCTCAAGAACAGAACAGAAAAGACAGAACCAAATGTTAAGTGCTATTGACACTGCTTCTTCTAAAAACTCATCTGAATCTAGAAACTTCTCTTTCAGGAATGAGCCACGCCTGTCACTGCCTGCAAGCGTGAGATTTGGGACCAAGAACAATACATGATGATTTAACAATTTAGGGTTTGTTGAATTACTAGCTACTTCAGCAGTTAAGCGGATATGGAGGAATAAGTGAGTTTTTCTGCAGTTTGATAGACAGTTATAATCTCTCATGTTGAGCTGGAATTGTAAATTCTTGTCATTGTTGTTGCCGAACAGTGACAAGTGCCTTTGCATGGGAACTCTGCTTTACCTATCTTGTCACTTCTTCAGACGATTTAGACAAATAACATGCTAACAACTATGTGTGTTTACGACATCCACAAAAGCTGCTTATCCTGTTGCCTATAGCACTGCTAAGACTTAGACCAAGTTATTAAAAGGTTTGTAAAGCGCCAAAACACCATGAGCCAACAAGCCTATTCATTCCCAGTATTCTGATTCAGGTATATCTTAACTCCTGAAATATTAGGCAAGAAGAAAAAAAAAAAAATATTTTAGATGATCTGTTTAGAAATCTCAACTGAGTTTGACTTACTGGAATATGGAGCTGAATTTCATTCAAACAGATCCCTCAAAGCTCAGCATGTTTCATGAGAAGAAGCCTTTTCCACATTCACAAAATCGTAACTTTTCATTTCTCTAACTAAAAATCACATGTACTTACAAGATAAGTACAAAGAGAAAATAAATGGTTCAAATGATTGCTGAAGGGCAGGAAAGCCTTTCACATGATGCTTAGCTCTTAAAAGATGTAAATCATTAATTCAAATCCAGGAGATAGCAACAGAAGCTGGGTTGCTGCCATCTGTCCACTGGGCTGTATAACATGATGACTAATTTCAAGGCAGATCCTAGCAGACAGGCATCCATCACATGGGAGCTGTCACTGCCACCAGCTGCCAGTTACTGGCACACCACACAACAGAGACTGAAGTAGCTTCAGAAAAAACATGCTATGGAGTGCCAAGTCCTGATGCGGAAACAGTTTGAGGGGATTGTCCTTCCTGATGAGTTCATGCTCCAGACCATACTAACAGAGATTTACAGCTCTCAGGACACCAGCCTGCATGGGGCCACGCTGTGCAAGATGCACAGATACCACCCCTTCACTCTGCCTGCAAACAGACCCACAACAGAAAAGCCCAGCACCAGATCAAGGAACAAAGACTAAAGCTATGAAGCTCTCCTCAGGCAGGCCCTCCCTGAGGGATTCAACAGTCTCCCATGTGGCATGTGGATATCCAGATTCTCAGGTTTTTCACCTCTGCTGAGACAGAGTTGTGAATGATGCAGAAGGCTCAGGGGAGAGAAAACAAACAAACAAACCAAAACAAAAACAACAACCAACAACAACAAAAAAACCCCACCCACGAAACAAACACCAAGAAACACTTGCATTGTATTAGAAAACCACATGTTCTGTCATTCATTATTTAGAATAGAAAAAAAAACCCAACCCTCCTCTTTTATACTAATGACACATAATACTACTTATCTGTCTCCTCCTTTACCACAATTAAATTAACACGAGAAAAAAAGGTGAAAAAACCCTAGACATACCACAGTGCACTAATAAACTATGATTAATAAATGCTCAGCTCTCCAAGGTTCTCTGAGAAGCATTTAAAATAGGTTTAACCATTAAACACTTGCGGTAGAAACAGGCCTTTTATTGCTTGTTTCCGACTACTAAAAAAAACAACAACCAAAAAAAAAAAACCAAAAAAACCCAAAGCCCAAGCCCCTATATTTCTGCTTGTTTTAAAGAAAGCCTTTGAGTGCTCAGGCAGGCAATTTAAAAGACTCTGTTCTGGGTTGTACTGAATGAGTTCTTGACCTACAGCTGAGAAAAGAAAGTTCCTGTCATGTGCTACGCCTTCAGGTCATATTAGAAAAGAAACCAGCTCAGCTGAGCAGCTTACCATAGGTAGTAAAAGCCTTTATCTGAAAACAAGGAATCAAGGATCTGTCACTTGCAGTCCTAAATGCATGCCGAGCGAGACTAGTGGAAGAACTGAAAATTCACTGCAAGATCTTAGGTTTGGCTGATCTCCAAAAATACAAGAGGATTTGATCAGCTCTGGCTAGTCTTTCTGTTAAAAGAGTTAATTAACTTTGCTCTGGAAACCATGTCAGGAAAAAGGCAGACATAATGGGTTCAGCATCAGACCTACACAGGCAGAACCACAGCATGTATGCACACAGGTATGCTGCTGTGCAATTTCCAAGTCCCTGGAAGAAGTATGGCCAGAACTGCGTGGCTCTTGCTAGAACATTTCACTCATCTGTTAAAACCTGGTTTTCCTGACAGAGGTACCTGGACTGCTTCCCTTTACATGGCTAGCATTCACCTCCAACTTGATAAGAGAAGGATGCTTAAGAAAGGTTGCATCTGGATGTGGCCAGCTGCTGCTAGAACAATTTGGTCAACAGCCTGTTCCTTGAGTTCCCAACTTTGCTTTGGGAAAACAATCCACTAAGTTCAAAAATCTTAAAACAACAGGATGCCACCCTAAAGGAAGAGGTCGGAGTTGATCAAAGCATTTTCAACTAGTGCTTAGAGCAGTGTTGACCCTTCAGAGATTTAAACTCCAAATACCTCAAGCACAGGCTTTAAGAGCTATATAAACAGAAATCAATATGCATTTTTCCCTTCACATGAAATAAGTGAATTAACAGTAATCTTGGAGGAAAACAACAGCCTTAAGCCAATCAGCTGATCATCCCAGTTTTTCCTAGAAATCTCCATTTCTTTTCAGCTGCTCTTCTTATGACCACAACCCTTTTAGTTTTCTGAATCTAATCACAGTTCCTTTTTCCACCCAGTGCTTACATGTTGCCTATCTATGTAATATTCAGATGCTGATTTCCACAAAACACGTGACTGACTCACGACAACCCTCCTCACAGAAAACTAATGTCCACAGGTCCCTGTCAGCAATATTTTGCCTGCACGTTTTGCCGGCCATTAGGCAAACTGAAGCATCTACACCCACGATTAAGCCCTTGCAGAATTAGTGAGATTTCTTTATGCACCGATAGAAAGAAGAAGTCTTTATCACAGTAAACTCCAATAAGGTAGATTTTGAAGGAGACTGTGGTCTCTGTAGCAGAACAATTCTTTACAAAGCCTACTAGTAACTATTTTACAAATCAGCTTAATTTTATTAGAACTTGTAGTAAAATAGTTCAGTATAGCAATTGAAGATGTATGTCATTTTCACTGTAAAGACAGGAATTTGTAATTATGTTAACTCAGAATGGTTTCAAATGTTAAATAAAGGTACTTAAAAGT